ATAGGAGTTTTTATTTAATTTTTATTTAATCAGATTTTTTGAATTTTTTTATTATTTTTTTTTTCTGTTGGTCCCGCCGGGTTCGTACGGTAGCAGCGGGTCGGGCGGGCCTTTAAGCGAGGGCCATTGGTTCTCAATGGCACCCGTCTATTTTTTTTTAAAAAAGTAGTGCGTCCGAGGACCGACGCTCTGCCCGCGGCCCTGTCCCAGCCCAGCCGGAACTGCCGGTACCAAAAAAATAAAAAGGTGAACCCAGACCGAACCACACGGGGACGGTACCGGTTCACCGAATCGCAAGGGGACGGGCTGGGTAGTGGCCAGGACCGGTCCGGCCCGTGGCCACGTCTACTTGTTTCATTGCATTTTTCAACTCATTTCAATTCTATCAAATTTCAATCCATCATATTAATCATGCCATAACTGTATAAACTACTTCAATCATATCCTACGTAAAGACCCATCTTCCCTTCTTTCGAACGGGGTATAGGACCCCTGCAATTGCGTTTCATCTTTCGTCAAACAAAGACGTCAATCGAGTGAGCATTTCCGGGATTTTAGTCAGCACGAACACATGTACGGGCCACAAAACACAACCAAAAATAAGGGAGAAGTTTTTCACACATTTAGCCTTTCCGATTCCCCAATCCAAATTTTGCAGTTAACCTGCACATTCAAAGCACACAGAAGATGTTAAGTTCTTTAAATTAGTACACCTGTGTGGTTTGTACTTCTCAACAAATGCAATTCTTAGGATTGTAATTTGAACAATATAAACAAATATCATGGAGGTAATTGAAATACTGAAAGATAACTGATTTCCTTTCTTATTCTGTGATTTAGCCTAAACATCAAGGAACTTTTTTTTTTATTTTTTAATAATTAACCCGTAAGAAAGAGATCAGGCTTCCACCTTGATAGAATGACGGACCCACTGAAGAAAATCCAGCAGCTCTGTGTTCCTTCAAAGTGCTTGACAACCAGTCGAGCCCCTCGTACAAGCCATCACCTTTGATAGCACAAGTCCCCTGTATGTGCCACTTTCGATTTTTTAGATCATAGAGACCTAGGCCTTCACAAACCTCCATAGGTGTCATTGCTCCTTTCTGGACAGGAAATGTGAAATCGTGACAGTCAAATAAAGATATAAAATGAAATTCCAAGAATGTAATCTGCTATTGCAAAATGAAAACGTTACCCGGCAGGTAAATGATGAGAAAGTTAAAAGTCATGCCATATAATTAGGACTTGGCAGAGGCAGACTCATACGGATATTTTAGTATAAACATTTATATTTGTACATCATGCAATTATCCCATCTTATTTGTCAGAAGATGTTTATTATTATATAAAGCATCTTATGCAAATCAATATTTCACATTCCTCTAGCATATTTGTCCATTAAAACTGTCAAAATCAAGTGACAGAACTTATGATCTCGGTATAAGCCTCAATTTCTCAAGGTTATGAAACTATGTCAATGCTTGGTTATCTGAAGCATGTGAAGTCATATAAAAAAGAAAAAGAATTTTTCTTAACAGAATCACTAGAGTTTGTCCAAAAAAGTTGTAACAGCCTACAGGAAACCTAATTTGGTCGAAGCTCAATCCATGGCTTTAAGCTACACTACCATAACCAAATCTAGATTTTACTTGAAAGGGATGACTAATACGTGCATACCATGTCTTGCTTGTTCGCAAAGACCAAAATAACAGCATTAAGCATGAATGGGTCTTTGATGATGGCCTGGGAAAATAATAAATCAAGTTAGATGATCCGACGTTCGAGAATTTGTAACACATAAATGTATCAATCATTTGTAAATAACCTGAAATTCTGCCTTTGCTCTCCCAATTCTCTCTCGATCCAGAGAGTCCACAACATATATCTGCATACGAAAAGACCAGAACTGAAGAATCATCCAGAAAAAAAAGTTTCTTGCTACCAAGAAAGTAGAAGTGAAGTGGAAACTGAACCAACTCATTTTGCATGGGAATAATAGGAAGGCAACTGAGGTAAGAAGGCAATCAAAGGAGAGGTGAAAAACAGGCAATTGTTGGGGTTTGTGGCTCGGATCAAGAATTGTAATGCTGGGAAAGTCAAGATAGCACCACGGTGTCACTTAACTAGTGGAATATTTGGAATTAAATTAACAATTCGTACCAGCCCATCAGTATTATTGAAGTAATGTCTCCACAAGGGTCTTAACTTTTCTTGACCTCCCACATCCCACACCGTAAATATTACATTTTTGTATTGAACCTTCTCCACATTAAAACCTGCACCGGAATAAATTCAATTGTTTTGACCCCTTTCCTAAGATTATGCATCACAACAATCAGATCATTCACAAAACAGATACAAAATCCATACGACACCAAATAGCAATGACAGCAGTATCTATCTTACCTAGCAAGGAAACTGCAGATTATTTATGATTGCCTTAGATGCATAATTAAAGACTTCATTAGATATTAGATAATGTTGTAACTACATAACACAGAAAATCGGGTGCGAATTGAGATGCATATGGAAAAAAAAAAAAAA